ACAATGAAAGAATGCCTAACGGCTACCTAAGTATGACTCCCAATCAGAGACAACGAGCTACAGCCGTCTCTGATTGGGAGCCACCCTGGCCAACATAGATATACAAAACCAGAAAGTGAAACCTAGAACACACATAGACTATACACACCCTGGCTCAACATATTAGAGTCCCCAGAGCCAGGGCGTGACAAAGGTCATGTGTTGCTCAGTTGTCATGGTTAAGATTTTCTGTAACATTCGATGCTGTGAAAGTTACCACAACTTGTGTGCTGACCTAGTAAAAAAACAAGAAAGGGAAAGATAGTGTTGCTCAAATCAGCACTTTGATTGATGATGAGTTGTGTATTTGTACATGAAGTATCATGAATGAAAGTTGGTGATTGATAAATTGGGTTGTAAAATAATTTCATGTGAATATGGCAATGTTTTGTCTCCATCAATCAGCGGTACTAATGGAGGTGGCTACTACCATTACTATTATGCACTGAAGATGTGATCACATTATAGACATATACACAATATATACAAAAGTATGTGGACACCCCTTCAGATTAGTGGATTCGGCTATTTCAGCCACACCCGTTGCTGACAGGTGTATAAAATCGAGCACACAGCCATGCAATCTCCATAGACAAACATTGGCAGTAGAATGGCCTTACTGAAGAGCTCAGTGACTTTCAATGTGGCACCGTCATAGGATGCCACTTTTCCAACAAGTCAGTTGGGCAAATTTCTGCCCTGCTAGAGCTGCCCCGTCAACTGTAAGTGCTGTTATTGCGACGTGGAAACGTCTAGGAGCAACAACGACTCAGCCGCGAAGTGGTAGGCCACACAAGCTCACAGAACAGGACCGCCAAGTGGAAAAGTGGAGCGCATAAAAATAATCTGTCCTCAGTTGCAACACGCACTACCGAGTTCCAAACTGCCTCTGGAAGCAACATCTGCACAATAACTGTTTGTTGGGAGCTTCATGAAATGGGTTTCCATGGCTGAGCAGCCGCACACAAGCCTAAGATCACCATGCGCAATGCCAAGCGTTGGCTGGAGTGGTGTAAAGCTCTCTGCCATTGGACTCTGGAGCAGTGGAAACACATTCTCTGGAGTGATGAATCACACTTCACCATCTGGCAGTCTGACGGACGAATCTGGTACAAAGCGAGGTCCATACAGAAATGGTTTGTCAAGATCAGTGTGGAAGAACTTGACTGGCATGCACAAAGACCTGACTTCAACCCCATCAAACACTTTTGGGATGATTTGGAACGCCGACTGCGAGCCAGGCCTAAATGCCAAACATCAGTGCCCGACCTCACTAATGCTCTTGTGGCTGAATGGAAGCAAGTCCCCGCAGCAATGTTCCAACATCTAGTGGAAAGCCTTCCCAGAAGAGTGGAGGCTGTTATAGCAGCAAAGGGGGACCAACTCCATATTAATGACTATGGTTTTGGAATTAGATGTTCGGCGAGCAGTTGTCCACATACTTTTGGTCATGTAGTGTATGTACGAGGAAAGGAGAGTTGAGTCTTAGCATTTTTCATACAGGTATTTATTTACTGTCTTGTTCTTGTATATGTTTCTAGGCTGTCCTGCCACAGCAGAAGCTCTGTTGTATGGCACATTGCAGTAACAGAAGAAGATCCTGCCTGGTTGGCCCTGTCCGGGGGTATCGGCGGATGGGGCAACAGTGTCCCCCGACCCACCCCACTCTTAAAGGGAGTGCTCCTAATCTCAGCTTGTTACCTGTATAAAAGACACCTGTCCACAGAAGCAATCAATCAATCAGATTCCAAACTCTCCACCATGGCCAAGACCAAAGAGCTCTCCAAGGATGTAGCTTAGTGGTTAAGAGCGTTGTGCCAGTAACCGAAAGGTCGCTGGTTCTAATCCCCAAGCCGACTAGGTGAAAAGTCTGTCGATGTGCCCTTGAGCAAGGCACTTAACCCTAATTGCTCCTGTAAGTCGCTCTGGATAAGAGCGTCTGCTAAATGACTTAAATGTAAATGTAAATGGATGTCAGGGACAAGATTGTAGACCTACACAAGGCTGGAATGGGCTACAAGACCATCGCCAAGCAGCTTGGTGAGAAGGTGACAACAGTTGGTGCGATTATTCGCAAATGGAAGAAACACAAAAGAACTGTCAATCTCCCTCGGCCTGGGGCTCCATGCAAGATCTCACCTCGTGGAGTTGCAATGATCATGAGAACGGTGAGGAATCAGCCCAGAACTACATGGGAGGATCTTGTCAATGATCTCAAGGCAGCTGGGACCATAGTCACCAAGAAAACAATTGGTAACACACTACGCCGTGAAGGACTGAAATCCTGCAGCGCCCGCAAGGTCCCCCTGCTCAAGAAAGCACATATACAGGGCCGTCTGAAGTTTGCCAATGAACATCTGAATGGTTCAGAGGAGAACTGGGTGAAAGTGTTGTGGTCAGATGAGACCAAAATCGAGCACTTTGGCATCAACTCAACTCGCCGTGTTTGGAGGAGGAGGAATGCTGCCTATGACCCCAAGAACACCATCCCCACCGTCAAACATGGAGGTGGAAACATTATGCTTTGGGGGTGTTTTTTTGCTAAGGGGACAGGACAACTTCACCACATCAAAGGGACGATGGACGGGGCCATGTACCGTCAAATCTTGGGTGAGAACCTCCTTCCCTCAGCCAGGGCATTGAAAATGGGTCGTGGATGGGTATTCCAGCATGACAATGACCCAAAACACACGGCCAAGGAAACAAAGGAGTGGCTCAAGAAGAAGCACATTAAGGTCCTGGAGTGGCCTAGCCAGTCTCCAGACCTTAATCTAATAGAAAATCTGTGGAGGGAGCTGAAGGTTCGAGTTGCAAAACGTCAGCCTCGGAACCTTAATGACTTGGAGAAGATCTGCAAAGAGGAGTGGGACAAACTCCCTCCTGAGATGTGTGCAAACCTGGTGGCCAACTACAAGAAACGTCTGACCTCTGTGATTGCCAACAAGGGTTTTGCCACCAAGTACTAAGTCATGTTTTGCAGAGGGGTTAAATATTTATTTCCCTCATTAAAATGCAAATCAATTCATAAAATTTTTGACATGCGTTTTTCTGGATTTTTTTGTTGTTATTCTGTCTCTCATTCTGTCTCTCACTGTTCAAATAAACCTACCATTAAAATTATAGACTGATCATGTCTTTGTCAGTGGGCAAACGTACAAAATCAGCAGGGGATCAAATACTTTTTTCCTCTCACTGTACTTATAACTGGAGATCGACATTATATGGTGCAATGAAATGTGCTGGAGCAAATTAGGGTTAAGTGCCTCGCTCAAGGGCATGTCGACAGATTTTACACCTTGTCGGCTCAGGTACTTGAACCAGGGACCTTTCAGATACTAGCCCAACGCTCTAACCGCTATGCTACCTGCCTTTGTTAGTAAATGTAACATAATAAAATGCTAATTTATTTTATCTCCTGCCTATGTGTTATCCAATTTGTAAGTCGCTCTGGATAAGAGCGTCTGCTAAATGACTTAAATGTAAATGTAAATGTTATTGCATGTCAATGTATTTTTCTGTGAGGACTTTCATGAAAAAGGATGATTTTTTTTTTACATTTTAGTAATTTAGCAGACGGTCTTATCCAGAGCGACTTACAGTATTGAGTGCATACAATGTTTTAATTTTATAGCTGTGTGTTTTCATTTGGATATCTCTGTTGAAGCAAGTCGAGTATGGGGACTTCAACTTCAATAGAAGTTGTATTGTTTGATTGGTTTGATGAAGCTGAAATTGAATTTTCTTGTGCAATACCACCACCTACTGGTCCACTGAAAATTACAACTATTTGCATGGGCGGAAATTGATAACCGGATGTTCCTGTGAGTCGCGCGATATTTGGACCAACGAGAATTCTGAATGTTCTTTTCCCCGGAACATCAGGCAAGATGGTAGGTGACCAATTTTAGAAGTACCCGAACATGACAATCTATGTCCATCTCAGTAAAATTATTAAACCTTCTAATTAATACATCATGTAGTTCGATTTATCACCACTTATCAATCGGTACATTGGTGAATTTTAGGATGGAACAAGATTGGCACTACCACAAAGCTTGGGATGTATGCTAAGCACATAGTGTCGCCTGCAGTGCTAATGCTTTTCACTGAGTCACGTTCTCTTTTAGAGACATGAGTTCGGCACGAAATCCCGACTAACACAGTCGCTAGGAATGTTATGAAGTATTTCACAGTGAATGCCATGTTCAACATGTCGTTGGCCCTCGATGTCCACTGGGTTGAAGTAATTTGTGTTGCTTTCCTAGGCGGATGTTGAGATCAAGAAGAAGCGTACCTTCAGGAAGTTCACCTACAGAGGTGTGGACTTGGACCAGCTTCTGGACATGTCCTAGTGAGTAAACAATTTATTTCAATACTGCGCCACTATATTTGGCAATATTGGTGGTTGCATTGTGGTATGTTGGTGAAAGCTCAGCTGTTCCTGTGAGTGTAGCCATCATACCAATGCTAAATGAACCCCATCTTGCAGAAGGGTGACGTCTGGCAGTGGCACTCTCTCTTTCGAAAGTTGGGTACATTTATGAATAGGCTGTGTTCCATCTTCATTTGTTTTCTCCATTTTGCATTTCATACAAATCATTATGTAATGAATTGGGCTATGACTAAATATGTTCACATCTAAAGGCCAACCAGTTTGGGGTTAACATGTTGTGGTCCTCTGTAGTTCAGCTGGTAGAGCACGGCGCTTGTAACGCCAAGGTAGTGGGTTCGATCCCCGGGACCACCCATACACAAAAATGTATGCACGCATGACTGTAAGTCGCTTTGGATAAAAGCGTCTGCTAAATGGCATTTTATTATTATTTTATTATTAGTGAAGGAACACTTTGTCTCTGGCAGTCAGGATTCGTTGTAATTTTTCATTGAACTCCCCTGTAATAGTCTCCAGTCTGCTATTTGGATCTAATTAATGTGCATTTGAAAGTGTCCCTGACTGCATTATGACCATACCCCCGTCCTCCTCCAGTGAGCAACTAATGCAGTTGTACTGCGCCCGCCAGAGGAGGAGGCTCAACCGTGGCCTTCGCCGCAAGCAGCAGTCCCTCCTGAAGCGCCTGCGTAAGGCCAAGAAGGAGGCTCCCCCCATGGAGAAGCCCGAGGTGGTGAAGACTCACCTCCGGGACATGGTCATCCTGCCTGAGATGGTCGGCTCCATGGTCGGAGTGTACAACGGCAAGACCTTCAACCAGGTTGAAATCAAGGTGAGGTTTGGGGATTGCTGGACTCAGCATGGCCTCCCCTGAGGTTGTAATTGTAAACAATTTTTGTTTACTTTTTGCTGGTTTCTTCAACCTCTTGCCCCTCACGTGCATGCAATTAATCTACATTTGCCTCACCTTTTGCAACCACAACCCCTGATTTCTGTACACATTTTTGTCCTGTAACAATGTATTAAGTGTTCTCTAGTGTGTAGACACTATACAATGTAGTTATTCTTTAGTCAAGGTTGTATTCTAGCTGAAATGTCAAGTAATAGGATTGTCCTGCTCAACACTAACATTGTACATATTTCTCTGCAGCCTGAGATGTGCGGCCACTACCTGGGGGAGTTCTCCATCACCTACAAGCCAGTCAAGCACGGTCGTCCCGGTATCGGTGCGACACATTCTTCCCGTTTCATCCCACTGAAGTAGAATGGCTGCGGTCTTTGTATAAATAAAATTGAGTCCCCACACACTTGTCTGTTGGCTTTCAATGTAAAAAAGTTTTGTTCTGTTTGCTTGAATTTTTACAATTCATTTGGTTATAAATGGCCATATTGGAGTTATGCAAATATGTGGACTTGATTAACTGCCCAATGGTTTTGTTTTAACAAATCTGGGCGCTTGTGCCAATGTGTGAAATGAATTGGGTCCAGTTTTTGTGATTGTTGCATGGGCTGGTGCATGTCTAGTGAACTGGGAATTGTATAAAAGAAATATAGACCTTTTATACAGTCATTGACAATATCGATTTGAATTGAATATCTTCATCTGTTTCAAAGTTATTGGAGAGACTGCATTTCCAATGCAATAATATCGAGTAATTTAGAGCTTCGGGAAACTACTTTCAATACCCGATGGTTACAATAGAATGAATACAATTTGATATTTATAATAAGGAATAATTGTCTTGTCTCATATCCAACCAAATCAAGATTTCTGATTAGGCTCCGGCGCAACGTTCGCGCAGCATGATCAATGCGAACACAGCCGAATAGAAGCTCTGTGGGCCTGTAAAAGTGCCGAATTAGCCCCCAGGTTAAAGGTTCCTGGGTGTCCTTCGTGATCTACGTTTACGTCTTGCCGCATTGTGATTAACGTCATGGCAGCAGCATTAAGACTTCCGGTTTTCCAATTTTGCCTTCACAATGAAAGTCTGCTGTAAAACGCTATGCGTATGATACGAAATCAATAATTTGTTCAGCTTTGCATAGTGCATAATAGGGGCGGATTGGCCATCTGGCAAATGCTAGATGGGCTTGACCATGTTTTAGGTGGGTGTGTTGGTCGAAATTGACACAAACAAAAATATATTTTTTATTTAAGGAAAAAACAATGAAAAAGGTGACATGGCTGGCTGACCATGGACCTGTTAAGATTTTTGCACAATTTCTCTGTTATAATCTATAATGAGCCTTTGGCTGATCAGTGGGCAACGGCTGGTCCCCCTACCAAGATGGGCTGTTCCGGTTTTCTGATAGGCTCAGCTGAGGTCATGCAAACTCACAATCAAAGTCATACATGGCATCAGCAAAGAGACCTGCTCTGTCTCTGTCATCAGTTAGACAGCCAAGATCATGGATTGTAAAAAACAGAAAGGGTGCCTATAAACGTAGAAAGAGCACATTCTACATTGTCACCTCACTCACAACATCCTATTTTTTGGGTGGCTAAAACCATGATTTGGTCAAACAGTAAAGTGCATTATCCTCATGTTTTTTTTAATTTTACCCCCTTTTTCGTGATATCCAATTGCGATCTTATCTTATCTCTGCAACTCCCCAACGGGCTCGGGAGAGGCAAAGGTCAAGTCATGCATCCTCCGAAACATGACCCGCCAAATCACGCTTCTTAACACCCAGCCCCTTAACCCAGAAGCCAGCTGCACCAATGTGTCAGAGAAAACACTGTTCAACTGACGACTAAGGTCAGCCTACAGGCACCCGAACCGGGATCTGTAGTGACGCCTCAAGCACTGCAATGCAGAACCTTAGACCGCTGCTCCACTCAGGAGGCCTATCCTCATGATTTCTGTAATTAAAATGTCTGCCCAGCCCCTGTGTCATCGCTGGGGCCTTCTGCTGTGATGAGCGAGCCACTCTCCTCTCCCCCCAAGCACTTGAGAGAAAAAGGCATTCTGATCGTATAACATTTCAAAATGCAATTACAGGAAAAACACAGCTTGGAAGCTTCATCCTCTTGTCCCTGTCGAAGAGAGGAGTGTCTCAGCTTTCTGTAGGTATACTTTATATTTCTTTACTCTCAATATTCAGCTGAATAGCAACTATTTTACAACCAAGATATTTGATATGGCTTTGAGATATGGAGCAGCGTGCCCGCAAAATGTGCACCAGCCATTGCGAGGGCATAGGCCTATAGGTCTCATGGGTAGTAGCCTACAACTGCAAAGTTTTTTTAGTATATAAAATGTACTGTTGGATGAATTCATGGCTACTAGCAGTGGGTATTATATTTAGATTTAGCGATACACTGAACAAAAATATAAACGCAACATGCAACAATTTCAAAGATTTTACTGAGTTACAGTTCATATAAGGAAATCAATCAATTGAAATCAATTAATTAGGCCCTAATCTATGGATTTCACATGACTGGGAGTCACATACACCTTAAAGAAAAGGTAGGGGCGTGGAGCAGAAAACCAGTCAGTATCTGGTGTGACCACCATTTGCCTAATGCTGCACGACACATCTCCTTCGCGTAGAGTTGATCAGGCCTGTGGAATGTTGTCCCACTCCTCTTCAATGGCTGTGCGAAGTTGCTTGATATAGGCGGGAACTGGAACATGCTGTCGTACACGTCAATCCAGAGCATCCCAAACATGCTTAATGGGTGACATGTCTGCTGATTATGCTGGCCATGGAAGAACTGAGACATTTTCAGCTTCCAGATCTGTGTACAGATCCTTGCGACATTAGGCTATGGCGGAAAATGAACGGCAAGACAATGGGCCTCAGAATCTCGGTGCATTCAAATTGCCATCGATAAAATGCAATTGTGTTTGTTGTCCGTAGCTTATGCCTGCCCATACCATAACCCCACTGCCACCATGAGGCACTCTGTTCACAACATTGACATCAGCAAATGACGCCGAACTGCAGTCAGGTCAAGACCCTGGTGAGGATGATGAGCACGCAGATGAGCTTCCCTGAGGTAGCTTCGGACAGTTTGTGCAGAAATTCTTAAGTTGTGCAAAGCCACAGTTTCATCAGCTGTCCAGGTTGCTGGTCTCAAACGATCCTGCAGGTGAAGAAGCTTATTGTAGAGAAATGAACATTCAATTCTCTGGTGGACATTCCTGCAGTCAGCATGCCAATTACACACTCCCTCAAATCTTGAAACATCTGGGAAAAACTACACATATTCGAGTGGCCTTTTATTGTCCCCAGCACAAGGTGCACCTGTGTAATAATTGTGTTGTTTAATCAGCTTCTTGATATGCAACACCTGTCAGGTGGATGGATTATCTTGGCAAAGGAGAAATGCTTACTAACAGGGATGTAAACAAAGTTGTGCACAACATTTAAGAGAAATAAGCTTTTTGTGCATATGGAACATTTCTGGGATCTTTTATTTCAGCTCATGAAACATGGGACCAACACTTTACATGTTGCATTTATGTTTTTGTTTAGTATAGTTAATGTGTCGACTTCCTCAGGTGTTGAACCCCAAATTAATTAGGCTATGATATTAGATAGTGCAATTCTGGAGTCCTATTTTGACACTAGTAAAATATTGCAATATAGTAATTGTCAACCCAAAAGTTGGCGGAGCGCGCAGTGATGTGGGATGGTGTGGAAAAAATGCCAGGGCCAAATTCTTGTCCCAGTCCCTGGTTTCTAATGTTAAAATAATGTTACAAAAAATCTAAACTAAAGAGAAGTACAAATTTATATAAGATAAATAATATGAAATGGTTGGAGCTTAAGTAAATTAATGTAAAGAACATAATATTCTACAGAACCTATTGATGTAGCACTAGAGTCTATAAATGGTGTTATTTCATGGGAGACTGAGGTCTATATGCCCAGCAACACTTTCTACTCCACCCATTCTATTGGTCCCAATGCAATACACTATAGGCCTATAAATTACATATTGGCTTATAGAGAGAAAACTATTCTAGATGCCGAAGTAAAATGTATGTATGCTAATGTATGTGCTGGGCGCGCAAGTGTGCCTATATTTTGTGTGGTCTCTCTCAATCAAATGGTCCGTAGCCTATACTAGGCTATAGAGCCCCACACTGGAGGTGTCATAATACCCATAAACCTAAATCAAATCAAATAAAATGTTATTTGTCACATACACGTGTTTAGCAGATGTTATAGCGGGTGTAGCGAAATGCTTGTACTTCTAGCTCCGACAGTGCAGTAATATCTAACCATTTCAAAGCAGTCAAAACAGGGAAATGGTTCCATTCCATTCCATTTTTCCACCATTCATTTTTCCCATAGGGAATTTTAGATTCACTAGGCTTACCCTGGCATGACGTTTTGATAACCATGTAAATCTCTCTTGGACAAGGTGACTTTTATCAATATATTCAGCTCTATTTACTCTCAGATTCTAAAATGCTTATTAGCATCAAAGTAGACATCATGCAAGACTACAAATCCCTGCACATCATCTCTAGCTGACACCTATGCTAACAGGTATTGTGTCAATTTAAAACTTGCACAAGACAGTTCACAGAATTGTCAATTTAAAGAAATTTAGCCAATTTATTCATTACTAAAATTAGCTAACATTAAATAGTTAATCCAGAGATTCTTACCTTTGCCTCAATTCTGCAGTCTGTCCAGATCACTGTGGTATTTGAAGTTCTTTATGATAGCCACATTAGCAGCTAATTAGCATTTCATTTTTTAAGGGTAAATGCGGGCAAATGTATTGATAAGTCACCTTGTCCTAGAGAGATTTACATGGTTATCAAAACGTCAAACCAGGGTAAGCCTACATGAAACACAGCCCTTATTTTAAGTGTAAAGCATCACTTCTGGAGGAAACCATCCCTACTGTGAAGCATGGTGGTGGCAGCATCATAATGTGGGGATGGTTTTCAGCAGCAGGGACTGAGAAACTAGTAAGGATCAAGGCAAAGATGAACGGAGCAAAGTACAGAGAGATCCTTGATGAAAACGTAGCAACGCTCCCCATCCAACCTGACAGAGCTTTATAGGATCTGCAGAGAAGTATGGGAGAAACTCCCCAAAAACAGGTGTGCCAAGGTTGTAGCGTCATACCCAAGAAGACTCGATGATGTAATCGCTGCCAAAGGTGCTTCAACAAAGTACTGAGTAAAGGGTCTGAATACTTATGTAAATGTCATATTTCAGTTTTCTATTTTTTATATTGTATTGTGTGTAGATTGATTAGGGGAAAAACAATGTAATCAATTTTCGAATAAGGCTGTAACTTAACAGAATGTGGAAAACGTCAAGGGGTCTGAATACTTTCTGACGGCACTGTAAATGAGGCTCAGGTAGAAAACCTATTGCCTGTGGAGAGTTTAAATGAGGGAATGTCAACTGCTCAGACTGCGAAATGTATATGCAAAATGTACACACTTGAGGATAAAGATTCTGCTTCCGATCTTCAACCTGATGTATCCAATAGTTCATATGATGGAGTGTCAGTGGCGTAGCCCAATCAAATCTCAGACACCCAAGATATTGGGAATGAATACTACCATTTAGAGACAGAAAGGTGTGGTGGAGGTTTATCAGATGAGGAAATTGTAAGCTCTATGACAACTGAATCAGATGAGCAGCGTGTAACTGGATAGGTTGAAATTGAAATAAGCGAGGAAGTGTGTTTTGTCAGATGAGGTACATTTTGGAGGGTTCAGAAAATAGTGGTAGGTATTTTTAAAAGTT